TATTCAATTTTAGTATTTCAAATGTAAAATAGAGAATTTACAATCTTCAATTCTTTTTTAAATATTTTCTTTTCAACTGTGATATATCATTCCTAGTTTTCCTTACATGAACCTGTTAAAATCAAGATCTCTATTATGTAGATAATATTACTAAACTATCCTTATATTAAGTAAAATGATAATATAATGCGTTTGTTATGTTGCTTCAAGGATTACAATTGCAACTTTTTAAAAAGTTAGGAGTATATTATAACAATAAAAAGTTAAGGATTAAAATGACTAGAATAGAATAATTGAGAAATTAAAAATATAATTTTTTTTTTCAAATATAACATGGAATAAAAAAAATGCATTGTCTTTTAACTATTTAATTTTATTTTTAAGAAAAAAAAAAATGTAAGTTGACATTTTGGCAAGCGAAATATCTTCAAGACGGATAGAGTATACTTCATCTACGGCTTTATCTTGCACCACATATCCCTTTTGCTTGTGGGGATCGGACTTGCTACAAACTGCTACTGGTGGAGTGGTGGTTGATAATGGAAGTAAAAGTAGTCCATATTGATAGTGGTGGTGATTCAATACTTTTGCTTACTTGCCATATAATTATATTTGAAATTGACATTTGACAACCAAAATCAATAAATTGTTCACATTATGCGCATTCAAGAATTCACATCCATTATGACAATTGAAGCATGTGGTCCATCTCAACTAAAAGTTTAAATTAATAGTTAAATTGTACATTTACATTTATATATTATATGCTCAACATGCCCTTCACGTGTACGTGCGGATCGATTACTTTTTTATGGGCTCCAAACAATACATGAACTATAATCTCTTTCTTTATCGGGTGACGCGGATATTCAAATCCATGTAAAAAGAAGGTGACGGTGGTAGGCAGCAGATGCAGTAGGTAAATAGCGACAGCTTCAGATAGGTCAACGGCGGCGACTATTACGACATTGATAAAAAAATATTAATGGTGTTAAAATATTTTTATTAGTTTAAAAGAAAAATTCAAAAAGAAAAAGAAAAAATAAGAATAGTATACTATAACCTGGCATTAACCTGTAAATGACATGTAAAAATAGGTAAAGATGGCTATTTGCTTAAGTTTTTGGAGTTCAAGGGGTTAAGTGGAGCTTTTTAAAGTTCAAGGGTTCAATTCCACATTTTAGTATAGTTTGAGGGTCTATTTGACCCGTATTCCTACAATTAATTAATGAATTTGAATTGAAGGTGAGGAATCTTTGACTTGTAGAAAATAAATATTTTTTTTTGAAGGTTATAGAAAATAAATATAATATAACTAATGAAATTATATCTCTTTTAAAATTTTTTATAATGAATAATTTTTGTTTAATAATGACATTATAGACATCTAATTCTAAATTAATTAAATGCATATGTATTTTTTTTGTAGCTACCAATTTATTTAATTTAATAAGAGTAATAAAGTGGCGTACATACTTTTCATCAACAACATTAAAGTCATTGATTTTTTAAATTTACATTCGTTGTTGAGACAGATTGTTTTGGGAGTTTGTTAATGAAATTTGTTACAATTGTTGTCAATAGATGATGATAATAAATAATTCAAAATATATTATTACAATAGATATCGTTATAATGATATAATAAAAATTAACGTACAAATTTTTTTAGAAGCTTTCATACATTGATAAATTCTAAGAATGATGTGTAAACTTGTTCCAGTGGGATGTAACATTGCCAATTCTTTAGAAAATTGTCCTATCGTTTTAGAGTCTAGGTTTAATTGTACTTCTGATCACTAACTTTGTAATTAGGTCGCGCAGGTTTGACAATGATGTAAGAACAATTTTGTCCGATAAAAAAAATAATAGTATAATATTTGTAAAGTAATGTATAATTGTACCGTTATAAAAAGACATTCAAAAAAATAGTAATACCATAATGACCTAAATCATCTCAATAATGCAAAAGGCATAATTGAAATATTGAGTTTTGTTCTAAAATCAAACGAAGATTAATTAAACGGAAAAAGAAAAAAAAAACTTAACCTAAATTTGTTTTTTTTTTTTTTTTTTTTTAATGCAAGAAAATAATTTTCAAAGTTAATGATTTATAATCTTTGATGCTCAACTTTGAATGTTTTGTATGTAGTCGGGCTAATTATTTGACCAAAGTTTATGTTAAATTTTATATTGTACTTATTTTTTAATACTCCGTATATTTTAACATATATGTAGTATATATTTAACAATTATGTCAACTCTGATTGGGATGAGGTTCAAACCTAAGACATTTCTTATAGAAACTAATGATTAAGTTATTTTATGGCGGAGTCCCTAGCCTGCAAGGAAGTTCTATCATGGTTGAAAGGTCGGGACGTGATCGCGTTGGACTTATTCACAAATTGCTCGGAACTTCGTAACAGCCTACTATCTACGCGGACACCGGTTTTATCCTATGTTGAGATTGTGATTGATCAATGTAGAGCTGTTATGCTCGTTCAATTTCTGTTCTATTAGTTTAGTCTCTAGAGCTTTGAATTTACATGCTTATACTCTTGCTGCAGCAGCCTTTGTTCAGGCTACTTCGCTGTGTTGGGACTCTGTCCCCCTGACTATATTGTTGCTTTCATTCATTAATATATTTTCAAACAAAAATTATTTTATAAATATATATTTTATAAAAATTGTTTACATTATTATTAAACACAAATATAAATTCTTTCTTCTTTTTTTTCCCCTATATTTTTAAATATAATTGACGGATATATTATACACACGGTCCGACCCGGGGTAGCATCACGGACTCGGAGCACCAAGGTGGAGCCCAAGCCACCTCGCACCTTGGGGTGCCCCGACCCGAGCCACTTGGTTGTGGGCTCGGGTGGAGCAGCTCGGCCTTACCCGAGTTCGAGTAAGGGAGCTCGGTTTTGCCCGAGATCAGCGGGCGTTGACCTGACCCGGTCTCGCCCGGGCGCGGTCAACGCGGAGATCCAACTACCCCCGATTTAGGGGGAAGGCGGGTGGGGGGTTTAGCTTGTATAAAAGACCCCCTCATTGTCCTAACAAGACACGTTCATTTTACACATTTGATTCATATTCTACACACTTTGTCCTAAAAACCTTTGTAATAGTCAATTTACGGCATTTAATACAATATACGGTCTCTACGGCCTTTACGACATCGTGTCGTGTTATTTATTTATTATTTATATTATGTTCTTATCCGAATTTATTGATTCGGGTCTAACCGGGTTAATTAAATCCATCAATAATAATTAAAATTTACCATTTTAAAAAATTGTGAAATATAATTTGCACTAATTTTTTAATTTTTATATATTAATATTAAGCCTGAATTTTTGGTGTATCACTCATATTCAATATTTTTTTGGCTATTAACTCTATTACATTGTAGTATCTGTTCATCTATACTTTTCTCAACCTATTGAAGCACAAAGAGTCAACACCACCTCCACTGAGGCTCGATCTCATGACCTCCCATATGAGAGAGCCACTACATGCCATCTGAGCACAATGTGCTTGGCCACTCATATTCAATATAATTCTATTGTTTTTCAATATTACACTGTTCCCACGGGAGATCGAATTTATTACCTCTCAATTAAGAGAGCAATACGAGCTACTAGAGCATAAAGTGATTATATGAAATCATGATAGTTGGTAGATTAAAAAGTACGGAGTAATATACTTCTTGGTCCTTTGAGTGAGGCTAATAGGCTATTGCGCACCTACTTACTAAAGGATCTAGCATCCCAACAACTTGTTAAAAATTCTACTTTTATCATGACACCAACTGTTTCAATTGCAACCTTAATCAAAATAAGTTAAGATATCAAATTGATGGAATAATTACGGAGCGGACCTGGAGCGAAGAAATATGGAGCGAATCACATCCGGCATCGAGTGGACTACGCACGCGGCCGGATAGACCATGGAGGGGTCTACCTCCACGGAGTCCTCGACTACTACCACGGGGCCTTCGGCTACTATCACGGGGCCTTCGGCTACTATCACGGGGTCCCCGATTACTGTGAACACGGAGCGACGAACCATCCCGGGGTCTGCCAACATGGGCTCGGCACTCCGGGGTCGGCCAACATGGGCTCTGCACCCCAGGGTCGGCCTACGTAGGCCCGGCCACCACGGGGTCGGCTGGCGCGCCCGGGGTCGACCGGCGCACCCCGGGTCGGCCCGGCCGAGTTCCGGGCTCGGCCGAAGATCGGGTCCTCGCGTGGAGCGAGTCTTGCAGCGCTAACCGCGGCTCCTCCTGTGTACCTCGGGCCAGTAGTGGCCGAGGAGTATAAAAGCACTCCCCGGTGTCCTATTCAAGTATCTTCTACTTTCTTACAACACTTGTCTCGTTATTACACGTCTCAAACCTCTGTAATAGCGTTATACATCCAATTAATATAATATTTCTACCCCTATTATCGTTTTGTTATTTATTTATTATATTCGAACATATATATGGGTTGTATACTCCGGACTCCCAGGTTCATATAATCCATCACAAATATTCCACAATCTTGTCGAGCTAGTATGTGAGTTGGGGGTCTTTGGACGAGAAATTTTACCTTTTGTGGACAAGTTTAAAGTATTATTCTATATTTATTGTAGAGTTAATACTTAAAACAGTCACTAAATTATGACATAATTTTTAATTTAATTCTTAACTATTAATTCATGCAGAATGATCATTTAATTATACAAAATTGACCTAATTTAATCATCCGGGTGGCTGAACTACGGCCAAATTGTTTAAAATTTGCATATTATTTTTTTGAAGATAAAATTTGCATATTATTATACGTTAAAAGATCATTTTGGATGAATTGATATTTGAGAACAAAATTGAGAATTATGGATGGGTGATTTTGAGTATTATCTTTTTATTGTTTTACATATTATTTTTGTTAAGGCTAATTTCCAAGTTCCAACATGGATCATAATATGATATGTCCATCTATTTTTTTTTTTTTTAATTATAAGGGAAGGGAATACCAACATATATAAGTAACTATATCAAAATTAAATGTCATCATAATCACCTCCACCTATCCTTGAACCCACCACTTCCCACATAAGGAAGCAACTTGGTACGGGACCACAAGATTTTTGATATGATATTCCCATCTACAAGTTTCCAATCACACGCTTTTTTGGTATTATATTGCTTTCAAAGGTTGGAGCTTTCTCAATGTGATGCCCACCCTGTCCCTCATATCCATAGTTTTGGGATCAACACACCGCTCAACTGCCCATTCGAATTGGTGGAGCAACGACCCCAAGACCAAGTGCGTCATACGGTGCCCTAACGGAAGCCCAACACAGATTCTCCGACCAGCCCCAAACGGTATAAGTTCAAAATGCTGCCCCTTTACATCAATATTTGAGCCAAGAAACCTCTCGGGCTTAAACGTCAATGGGTCTTCCCAACACTCTGGGTCTCTTCCCATTGCCCAAACATTGACGAGCACTTGCGTGTCTTTTGGCACGTCGTATCCCATGAACTTGGTGTCCTCAACTGCTTTTCTTGGTATCAGGAAAGGGAGCGGAGGATGTAGACGGAATGTCTCCTTCACCACTGCTTGTAGATATGGCAGATTGTCGATGTCATTCTCCTCCAACTTCTTTTCTGATCCGACCACCTTTGAAATCTCTGCTCTCACCTTCTCCATTGCTTCAGGGTTCTTTAGAAGCTCTGTCATTGCCCACTCCACCGTGCTGCTTGTCGTTTCTGTGCCCGCTAAAAACATCTCCTACAACAATATAATAATAACCAAGATTTTAGTTTATCATTGGATTTTTTTTATTGGATCACGGGAAAATTTGTGATTGTACACCGGGTAAACCCAACTCTAAGCCACAAAGAATTACAAAATAGTAAACTAAGGTTATATTCAAACAAAACCAATAGGTCAATTCTACCAAAAGTCAAACTTAAACATTATAGTTATTAAGTCATAAATGGCAATAATTTAACTATTAGCTTAGGATTTTAGTTGAAATATAACACATGTTTCAATTTGGTATCAAAATTAATCCTAGGCTTTTACTAGTCTTCTTCCAAAAAAGTTAAATCTCCAACCCCAAGGTTCTCACACCCAACCCAACAGAGCATTTGAAGGATATAAATTGTGACTCAATAACTCAGCAAACAGGGCCAAATAGATCTGCCTAATTTCGTATTCTCCTAAATATTACCTACTGAATTAATGAGCTAATTTGGTGCGGACATGCTTTTACTAATCTGACTAACTTGGCTGGTTGTGCAGTGGATATTTCTTCAAACTATTAGAAACTAATAAAGGACCTACCACTATGAGTACGAGAATTTCATGTTCTGATAACTTCTCCGGTTCGTCCTTTCCTTTGCCCTTGAATTCAAGCAGTACGCTCAAGAAATCTTTCAGATTTTCTGTGTCATCAGCTCCTTCTTTCATGCGTTCCTTCAAGAACGATGAAGCGATTCCCATTGTTATCCTGAGATCGCGAGCCATCTTCCTTCTTAATCCCTGCAAATCAAGCAACCTAAGACAAGGAAAGATGTCGGAAATATTCGGACGCCCCGACCACTCCATTATTCTCGTCATGGCATTGAAGAACTCCGAGGTTATCTCGGCGTCAGGATCCGCTAAGTCACGCGACATCACGATGTTCCCCAGCATGTTAAACGACGCCAGGAAAGCAAACCGCGCCACTTCAACACCACCACGCCCTGCAGCTATAGCTTCTTTCTCAATCCACATAAGCATGTCGTCGACGCTCTTTCTTCTAATAGCCGCCGTGTCGTTCATTTTCCGGCCAGTGAACATCTCGGCGCTGCAGATCCGCCGTAGCACCCGCCAGAACGCGCCGTAGGGGGCTAGCGCCAGAGAGGCGTCGGCATAATTGTAGGCCCAGTTGACGTCGCGGATTTTGCGGTCCGCGAAGGAGACGTCGTGGTTCTTGAACAGCTCGGTAGCGGCGACGACGGTTTGGATAACCACGGTGTTTAGGGTGCCTATCCTTAGCCAAACAACAGGGCCGTACTCTTGTTTCAGCCCTTCCATTGTTTTGTGCAGTTCGGGTCCTAGGTCTAGCATGTTGCCTAGAACCGGCAGGCCACGGGGCCCCGGAGGTAGCTTATAGGATTTTGATTTTCTTGGGAAGAACACGAAGATCATCAATGGTGGTAATAAAAGGAAAATGAATAGAAGAAGAGACCCCATATTTGCAAAATCCCTTTCTCAGGTATATATGATATACTATAGATTTCTTTGGATTTTAATTTTGTGCTCCCATTGTAATTTGCCAATTGCCACTATATATAGACATTATTACTATTAAATGAATCTCCAACATTTCATATCTACATTGTCAACTCTCAATGTCTATCCCCAATAAGTAGTACTTTTTTTATTTGTATTTATTCAAAATGCGCAACGTCACTATAATGGACACTTTGGCTTGCTTATCTAGACTTATTATTATTTTTTTTCCTCAACAACCTCCAAAAGTTCAATACGGGAAGTTTGAGTTATTACCATCTGAGGTCATTTGACTATATTGATTTTGTCACGTTTAATCCTAAACTTTTAAATTGATTATTTGTGGTTCTTGGACTTTCAAATTTAACAATTCATGGTCCAAGTTAACCTCCCATAGTCCTCAAACTTTCAAAACTTAACCAACCATGGTCCTTTCAAGAAGACCACGGGTGGTTAAATTTTGAAAGTTGAAAGACCATGAGTGGTTAACTTGGACCACAAATGGTTATATTTGAAAGTCGAAGAACCACAAATGGTCAATTTAAAAGTTTAGGATTAAACGTGACAAAATCACTATACTCGGATGACTACATATGCTGACCAGAAAACCATAACTAATAGGCACCACTCATTTGAAAACCAGGCAGAAAACTTGTTCAAATTAAACCAACTGAAAACTATTAGAGATCAGAAAAACGCTATGTATTTTGTTCACACACTGACACTGATCCACACTAAAAACTGTAATGCTGAAGGAGACCCAGACAGAAATACGGTCCAAAAAATATAATCAAATTATAAACTAAGTTTTGTCAAATAATTTAGCCACTTAATCTAAGATAAAAGGTGTATAATTTTTACACTTACAAATTCCTTCCAATAAAATGTTACCAAACTATTGGGTACTCCAACTAAGTTGGTCAGACAATTGATTTGATAATCATAAAGCTTCAACATCGATTCCCGTGAGAGCTGTCTATTGACATTTTTAGTTTGAGCAGGTCAACTATGGGTAACTTGGGGTAACCATACCCAAATTGGTCGGACAGTTAGTTTGGACGATCTTCCAAGTTTAACTTCTTGCATGATCCTTGAATGGTTAATGACCTTGTGGTCCTTTGACCACTAAGGCTACAAGTAGGTTTCACCCAGATCACACTTACAGGTAAAAACGTTGAGCTTCCCCGTAAATCATAGTTATGGGAAACCTAAGTTGGTTTATCTCATTGTTGTCCTTTGCCGACGGATTATACGACATGTACATAATGTGTTAACTGCAGGTACATAATGGAATAGAGTTCACAATATGCATGGTGGACCCTAATACACGATATAATGTGTTTTTTTTTTTTTTTCATTTTTAAAAAAATGCATACTCTCTCTGTCTCATTTTAACTGTCATTCTTACTATTCATGAGTCAAACCAATTCTTTCTTCTTTGTTTTTTTTGTTTTTGTTTTTGTATTTTTTAAAATTATTTTTAAATTTGTTTGTGTTTAATACTACTTTTAATACTGTTTCTAAATATATAAATTATATATACTAATACTAAACTTAATATTATAAATAATTGAATTAAAAATAATTTCAGTCAAATATCGTTAAACGAACCAGACATATAAAATGAGACAGAAGGAGTATCAAATAATAAATATATCTAATCAAAAAATAACATTTTTGATCCCTGATTTATTTCACTTTTAAAATTTTGATCAATGTTAATTGATTTAAACATATTTAGTCTGGTTACTGAAACATATTTAGTCTCGTAATTGTCTATTATGTTGCACTTCCACTCCCTCTTGTTATATAATTATCAAACTCCATTAGTAAACTCTTTTTTATGAGATTATTTTTGTCATTTAGAATCAATATTTATGGTTAAAGTTTCACTATTTTCATGTGAACGTCATTTTTAACCGTGAATATCAATATAATTATAATGATAAAAATAATATTTTATGTTAATAAAATTTTATAATTATATAAAACTAGTGACTAAAAATGTAACATTATAAATAATTAAGATAACTTACATAATTTTTTTTATTTAAATTTTTTGGAAACAAAAGATTTTTTTTTTTTTTTTTTTTTTTGTTAAGAAGGAAGGAGAAACCCGCAAGAACAACAGCTACAAAGTGTTCGTAGCTTCATCTCAAGTGTGTCGTCGCGTGACTCTAGCCCCCATCTGGTCTTGGTAAACAATGTCCCAAACAGCCCGTGGTGCCCCTAGAAGATGCCGATACCCGATCTCATGCGCTAGAGCAAGCGTTGCTAGCTTATCCGCTGCCCTGTTAGACTCCCGGTATGTATGTTCGAGGCGAAGTTCATCCACTTTCGCGGCCTCTTTCATGCACTGTCGGAGAATATTGTTTGGTTACGCCTCTATGTCCATAGTTGTCCGTAAGCTATCAATTGTGGTGTTTGAGTCACCTTCGATGATGAGTTTCCCAGTACCAAAGCTCTTGGCTAAGCGAATTCCATGCAACACTGCCCATGCCTCCGCATCGTCGATCTGGCACCGCCAGATGTTGTACGTATAGCCTCCACACCATTCTCCATCCGCATTCCGAAGCAGGCCTCCACAGCCTGCCACTCCATCCGACTTTCGGCATCCATCCACATTTAGCTTATGCCATCCCATAGGCGGTTTCTCCCACACCACGTTGGTCTCCGTGAGCATCACGTTAAGTCTCTCCGGATGTCTCCTTTTAGCAAACGCAGCTACGATCTCGGAGTCATACTTCTGGAGCCAGCTTGTCTTGTGGTCAGCAGTTGCCATCTTGCCATTAAAAAGATCATCATTCCGCCAGCGCCATATCCACCATAGTCTAGCAGCGAATCGCGCCGGCCAGCCTTCATCAAAGCCAAGCTTCGCATCCCCCTGTAGGTTCACAGTGAACCAATCTTTCCAGCTCAGGTTTCCGATCTTTTCAACTGTGCGTCGTGGGAGGGCCACTTCCCAGATACTTTTTGTAGCAATGCATCGCCTGAAGAGGTGGTTAAGGTCTTCTACGTGTCCTGCACAGCGGAAACAAAAAAAATTAGTGGTTATATTTCTTCTTGTCCGTTCTAAATTCGTAAGGATTTTCTCATGCTTGACAAGCCAAAGGAACACGCAAAGTCTCCCTGGGATACGCATCCTCCATATTTGGCTCCATTCTTTGTCCGGTTGGCAAGCCGCATTGTCCATAATCAGCTCGTATGCGGATTTAACGGAAAATCTCCCTTTTGCGTCTGGACCACATGCTACCGTGTCGTCCATGTCATCTTTTGTAAGCATAAAACCCTCTAGCTTCTCCTTAGTTTCCTTCATCAGGACGTGTTCAAATTTCTCCCATTTCCACCCTCTTGCACTATCCAGTACTCTGCTACGGGAGCATATAAATCAGGAAGGCTCAGGCGTGTAAGCATTTGATCGTACAACGGTTCCGGTGTAATCCACTTGTGCATCCAGAATTGCGTCTTCTTGCCGTTTCGGATCGCACAAGTAAGGCCTTTTTCTAAATGCGTCCTAGAGGCGGTGATGCCGCGCCAAACATTAGACATACTCCTTCGACCTGAATTAGCCATTTGAAGGATCCCAGCAGCCTTGTTCTTGGAAGTTAAAACTTGAGCCCACAGGCTGTAAGGCTCTGTCATCATCCTCCCATCCCAATTTGACCATGTATGCCGTGTTAACCTCGTGCATCCGTCTGAAGCCGAGTACCCCAGCGTCTTTATCCGATGTAACCATAGTCCAATTTGCGAGGCTCATTTTCTTAACTCCCGCACTGGTAGTTCCCCAAACAAAGCGTCTAATCCGTTTCTCCATCTCCGTGCAAAGGCTCTTTGGCAGACTAACAATCTGCATGATGTAAGTAGGTATAACACTGAGAACAGTTTTGGCCAGTACAATCCGTCCCGCCAAGGAGAGCGTTTTTGCTTTCCATCCTTCGAGCCGAGCTGATAGCCTGTCAAGAAGAGCAGAGAAGGTGTTACAAGTAATGCTGCTATGAATGGAGGGCACACCAAGATACCTCCCCAAGTCACTAGTCTGTGTGATGCCCAACTTCTGCGCAATTGCCCCTGCTAGCCTCGAGTCCACGTTTTTAGAGAAATGGACCTGCGACTTGTTGAGGCTGATACGATGACTAGAAGCCTTGCAGAAGCGGTCTAAGCATGACTGGATGATGTCCACCTGTTCAAAAGACGCCTCCGAAAAAAGAACCATGTCATCTGCAAAACAAAGGTGTGAGAGAATAGGACCATTTTTAAAAAGAGATATGCCTTTCCAATTTTTGTTACCGACTTTCGAGGTAATAAGCTGGCTTAGGCGCTCCATGCAAAGGATGAAGATGGCCGGGGACATAGCGTCGCCCTGCCTGATTCCCCTCACTGGTACAATAAGCTGAAGCCGCTCACCGTTCCAAAAGATAGTCAGACGAGCAGTGCGGATGCAAGTCATAATGATTTTGACCCATTCATTGCCAAAGCCTGCTTGCTCTAAAGTATCCTGTGTAAACGTCCAGGACAAACGATCATAGGCCTTCTCCAAATCCAGCCTTATTGTCATGAAGCCTGTCGCCCCCCGCTTTTCCCGCATGTAATGCATGACCTCCTGGTAAATAATCACGTTGTCTGTGATCTGCCTGCCTGATACAAAGGAGCTTTGGAACGGTCCCACAAGCTTAGGCAAAATGCTTTTCAGCCTGTTAGTGATTGTCTTCGTGACAATCTTGTAACCTGATAAACATTATTTTTAGTGTTATTTTAATGATATTTTTATAGTTAATTTTCAATAATTGATTAATTTTATATCAGTCCTCGCATAACCCACGTTGCAGGGGCTAATAGGCCGAAACTGTTTGATCATCTCCGGGGCATTATCCTTTGGGATGAGAACAACTAGCGTGTCATTCAGGCCCTCGGGAAGCTGACCAAATGAAAAGGCTTCTCTGACCATGTTGAAAACGCTATCTCCTGTTTCCATCCAAAGGTGTTGATAAAAAGCTGCAGGAAACCCATCCGGACCCGGGGCCTTATACGGCTTCATGTCCGAAAGG